TATTCGCTGCTTTACCAAAAACCCTCACCCCTAGGAGCCTAGGCGCCAAAACACAATGGCCCGGCTTCTTAGAAGGTTTTCTCATCGCATCGGCAGTTTTTGGTCTTGTTGGTACTGCTCTTTCTCGGAGAATGCTCAAACTTCTTCACTCTTACCCCAGCTTCATGAACTACCCCCCTCATATCAAACTACCAAAACGCGCCAAGCCAGAAATACTTAGCCAGGGCGGTTGGCTTCACCCGACAACATTCCAGAGTCTACCCCTAATCAAAAAGGACCTGGTCGCGCCGAATACACATCGTCTGGTATTCGGGCTACCTACACCCCAATCAGTGCTTGGTCTCCCTATTGGACAGCACGTCGCCATCACAGCCACCATCGACGGTCAAGTAGTGACTCGGTCCTACACTCCGGTCTCAAATAATGCTGATCGTGGCGCACTTGAGCTAATCATCAAATGCTACCCCAGCGGCAAGCTTACCGGTGGTTACCTAGCGAATCTTCAAATCGGGGACGAGGTGAAGTTCCGTGGACCGAAGGGAGCTATGCGTTACAAGCCTGGCCACTGCAAGCGAATTGGTATGTTGGCTGGCGGCTCAGGAATAACGCCCATGTACCAGCTGATCCGCGCCATATGCGAGGACCCACGGGATACAACCGAGGTCAGCTTAATATACGCCAACCGAACCGAAGAGGACATATTGTTGCGAGCCGAACTCGAAGCTTTCGCTAGGAAATATCCCAGGAATCTCAAGCTGTTCTACCTGTTGGACAAACCTTCACCAGATTGGCAAGGAGGAGTAGGGTACGTAACGAAAGAACTCATGGCAGAACGTTTCCCCACTGCCAATTCCGACTCGAAAGTTTTGCTATGCGGACCACCAGGGATGGTGAGTGCGGCAAAGAAGGCCCTTGTCGGTCTGGGCTTTCAGAAGCCAAGTGCGATGTCAAAAATGAGCGACCAAATCTTCTGCTTTTAAAGCTTTCGTTTCTCTTCGTTGTTTATATCATATGTAGTAACTTATATAACTCATATTAATAGGTCTTGTGGACTGGGAATGTACGAATGCGATGGGATTCATAGAACATTAGACAAGGCATGGGAATGGCGATACACAAAATAGACCACAGGCCTGTATATATCATTGTTTAATACCAACTCATCAATACAAGTAACAATATCAGTGGTAACTTGCCTATTTTAGCAATTTTTTACAACTTTTTACAAGTTGTAGAGCTAGCCGTTGTATGATACACAAATGATATCAGCTCATGTCAGGACACCCCTTGAACGCCCCTTTCCTGTCTATCGTACCTGTTTTCCAATATTATTTTACATGCAACCGATTACTTGGTCGATTTTAAATAGATCGCCACTTTTTAGCCGTCGTTTCACACTCGGAGCCGTTTATGCATTCTCGTCAAGGTGAGTTCGTCCTCTGAGGCATCTGACCCTTGGTCCAGATTATACTTTCGTTTGATTCCCGTCTGACCACTACTTGGGACCTCGATGACTGACGATGTAACACTGCTGTTGGAGCTGCTCGGGAACGTTTCTGCGATGTCGTCGTCGTCAATGGTCCGAGGTGGCGATGAGAAGTCAGAATCTGATCCATGAATCGAGATCACCTCGCATTCCTGCCCATAGGATGCGCTTGGTTCCTCTTTGATAACTTCGAGCCGCCGTTCAGTCTTTTGTGCAGGGATGTTGCTCGAAACGCGACTGGCGCAATCTTCTCGGGCTATTGCCGCACGATGTCTCCGGTGTTGATACGTATCAGCAGCGTTGGGAGGCCTTAGAACCTGCAATAGGGCCGCTAGAAAGCCGTCACCTTCTCTGGCTGTTCCCATATGGAATCGTCTGTCTGGATCGAGTGTGTATCTCTTGAATGCTTCGAATTCGTGAGGCGGCCAAACTTTGATGGGCTTCCCGTTCCTCTTCGCGTTGATATAGTCGATGATATTGACTAGGACACTCTTCAGATTCGCTACGCAGCCTTCGATCGTGTCGAGCGGCTCTAGCTTAGCCTCCCGGCACATGTTCTGATAGGTTTTAAGCATCTGCCTCTCCTTCTCTTCAAGGGGGTCTAGATTATTCTCTTCCTCCTTTTTTACGTCGTCATCGTCATCGTCCGACTCTACTTTTTGGGAATAGTGAAATATCATCTCATCTGCATTGGAGCTGAGTCAGTACATGCTCGACTTTCAGTGTACGGAGCCTCATGAAATACCAGTGAGTAAGACAACTTACGGCGAACCGCATCTGTGCGTTGTTGCCGCCAGGCTTTTGACCCGGGTGCTATATTCTGCGAAGACGCGAAACGACCAAATTCCTCATCGAAATCTGCTTTGTTATCGGGCTCAAAGTTCGGGACCTGGGAGAAGTAGGATTGCGATGCGTCGAGAGGCTCCAGTTTGATTGGCGGCTTTATCTCAATATTGTTCACAGAAATGCCACGAAGCTGTTGGGTGTCCTCATCACCAGAACCAAGCCCAAGCCCGACGAGGTGGACGGGCGGTGGATGTGTGCGTTTCGGCTTCGGCTTCTGTTTCGCGGAACCCTTATTACTGACGACCGTCTGACCAGTTGCGACGTATTCTGCGGCTTCTTCGTAAGTTTTGAAGCCGCGGTATTCGTTGGCGCATTTTTCCACTTGCGCCTTGCAGCTTGCCCAGTTGTCGTATACTCCAGGGATCCGGCCTTTACGGACGCCGTAGTATGCTTTCATTTTCGATCACGATGAATAGTGCATCGCTAGTAACTTGGTAGACCAGAAGTAAGACATTGTCTAGCTAGGTCAGATTGAATAGTACTTCAACGCGTTGAGACGCGATTGCATCATAGGTATAGATCGAATTACAGGGATGGCCCGGGCCAAAACCCAACGTGTTCGGATTGTCAGTGCGATGTGTCATTTTATTAAGCAATCTAACATACCTTCAACCTCATTAGCACGATAAAGGTGAAAACGAAGATTTTACGGGAATGTTAACAGGAGTCGAGGACTGAAGCAAATACAAGCGGCTAGGTAAGTTGTAATACATGGCCCCATTTCCGCTCAATTACCCTGCCACCGACGCGAAGCAAGCTGGGGGAGCCTGAACATCTCTAACATGTTCTCATCCTTTCAAAGGTTGCTTGACATGCAGGTGATCTCTTGGGTCCAGTTCACGAATATCTGCACTGATAGCCTTGCCATCAAATATAAGCTCACTAAGAACCTTGCCCGTGATGGGTGAATTCTGAATCCCCCACTCATTGTGTCCTGCTGCCACCAGAAGTCCCTCGATTCCTGTTGGGCCCAGAAGGGGTCCCAATCCGGGATCCCGACCCTGAACATTCACCATAGGCCTGTAACAAGCCTGCCTTTTTAGGACCTGGCTCTTGCCGAGATCTGGTGAGATCAGGTTAACGCAGTTCATGATTTCTTGGCAACGTTGCGGATCGACATCAACTTCGTCCGTGGTAGCAGGTAATTCTAAGCCGTATTTCGTCCGCCCACACATGTATACTGTGCCATCAGGTCGCGGGTATATTTCCAGATGGTTCTCTTTGTCATCTGGATCTATATGGCCCGGGTCGAAGAAGAGGATAGTTGACGAGATTTCTTTATTTGGCTGCACCACCACGCTGTGACTTTTTTCTCCAATTATTGGAGCTTCTGATAGGATTCTACTTGTCCACGGTCCTGCTGCGACAATCACATCTGTGGCGAGTACTTGTTGAACGGCTGACTGCTTGTTGCGTAATGAGACTGCTCGTACCCGTTGCCGATCTTGCGAGTAATCAATCGATGTCACGGACCCCTCGACAAAGCGCACGCCTTTTTCTTCCGCCAGGCGGGCGAGGGTTGTCGTGAAGAGGTAAGGATGGCACTGAGCGGTTTCTCCTAAAGGCTTATACCATTTGAACTGGATACGGTCAACCCAATCCAGAGACTCGTGAACAGGCGTGCGTGCGTCGGGGTCGTCGAGATGTTCGGCAACGGCATCACAGTCTGCAGAGAAACATCTGCGATATCCCCAGTTGTTTTCGCCATCGTGGTCACCTGCCAGTTCTGCGTGTAATTGAAAACTTGCCGCACCCAGACATGCTGGCTCAGCCCAAGCAGCAAGGCAACCTCCGCTCAAGCCGGAGGCTCCTCCCGCAATCTTGGTCGCTTCAATCAGTGTAATTGAATGCTTTTTGGCATCGTATGAAGGATGGCGGGATAAGTAATACGCCGCGCAGCATCCAATCACCCCTCCTCCTGCAAGGGATTTAGTAATGGTTGTAGTCAGTTTCTAACCAGAGAAAGGAACTATACCTATGATGACGATTTCGCGTTGGCCGTCTTCACCCATGGTTCCGCTATCTATATCCCTTGAGCCGAAGCCTGGTATATGACGTCGTGGAGGGGGAGGGGCCTCAAAAATCAGTGAGAAACTTGACCACATAACTTCGACGGTCTCGTGCGCAAGAGGATATCAGTTCAAGTGTAGAGTGACCAAAATCTGAGCGCTACTTGAACACCGATTTAATTCAGCTTCGCTGCATATGACTTGAGTACCGCCCAGTACGAAGTTTGTCGTGATTGTGTGGGGAGGGTCCTGAACCTGCGCGATAAGCAGTTGGACGTTCACATGTACAGGGGAAATTTCAACCAAGACAGGAACATGAGCAAGCTATATACTGCACATCGTCCCGAATCCTCCCCAGAGCATGGCAAAACCCCGCGTTTGCCTATCTCGGTTCGCGTGGCTTTGAGAGGCGTCTACAATTGGCCCGGGCTGGAACACGCCTCCGTGTAATCCTGTGCTCAATCAACTACCAGCCCCATCTCTCTCTCAAACGCAAGATCTGTGGTGTTTGTACCCGAGTATTCTAAATGCTGTTGAATGTAACACTCAAGAACGCCGCTTATCATTCCTGCTTCAGCTAATAGACATCTCTGCTGATTTTTTTCTCGTCTTCCCTTCTATCTGTTCACTTAACAAACCTCTTCACCATCCCATCGTATAGTTTTATGGTGTAGTTGGTTATCGTGTCAGTCCGACATACTGAAAGTCTCCGGTTAAAGCCCGTGTGAGATCAACGTCCTCCATTGATACCTTCCATTGAAATCTTCATTTTTTAGGCTTTTACTAATCTAAGTACTTACACTAACGGAGAAGGAAATATTTAGCGTATAATTGGACTGTTGCACGTCTTCCGAATTAAAACTTTTGACCAGTGAATAAGTAGTGTACAAAACATAGTAAAGTAGCGTACTTTGACAGCTTCATGCCAATGCTATTAATGTAACAAAATTCTGAATTCATAGCCCTTCTAAGGGTTTGAAGGCAGAGTACCATTTATGGCGGCGGTGTAAGAATGGCATCTACGACAAGCTATTGATAGTCCCTTTCGCGCTCCTCTGGCCGAACTGGGGTGAGTTTTGCTTCTTTTATCCTATCCAGAGCAGCTATCGAAACACGCAGAGTAGCTCTCTCTTTGGAGGAATAAGTCTCGTAGATGTTGTTTGGGTCATATTTTCAGCCGAAGTCCAAGGAAGACATTATAAACTACTAGTAGGTAGTAGCCCAAACCTTTCCGACCCTTTACGTACAGGCCTACCTTCTACATCTAGTAGTGAGTCAATAAAATAATAGAAGATAAGCTGCAGTAGTGTAATGATTATCATTCTAAGCTTAAGACCGGCATTCTACTTGCCGTTACAACAGCCTTTTGAAGGATATTATATGGCTATAGCGGACCCTTTGACTTTAATCCGTTGGATGAGTTGATCCTGTTTTAATTCTCAGCTCATCAGGCCTATATGTCTTCATAGCTACTGTTTTGGATGTCTTCTCGATAGTGCAAACGTTGTTTGTGGGTTTACTATGTCAGCAGCCACCTGATCTAAGTCACAGAGTTGGTCTATACCCAACTTTCACTTTTTGAACTCATAGGTTTAGTGACTTTAGGTTGTTGGTTTGCATATTGAATACCTTGTAGTCTACCAAGTGAATATTAGCAGAAAAAGGAGTGGCAAACAGGGACAAAATGTATGCAGGATATATCAGTCATGGGATGTATTGAGAGACTAGGGCAGGGACGCTTCCCCTCCCCCCTTCTTCCCTTATGCAGTTATATTACAGGAAGCACACGAGGAAGTAAAGACAACCAACCATCACTCACTGAGCTTTGGTTCACTTCTTCTTTTAGCTCGGTAAGCATTATTTGTACACTCCCCATTGATTCATCGCACCTTTGTTATTTAACAAAGAAAACCTCCCCGGAAAATCAACTTCCACCAAAATTCTCGTTATCAGCCAATTTACGAGCAGCGGCATTGTGGGTGAGCAAGCAGCGATTAACGCTATTGTTTCTGCCAAAGGTGGAATTACAGCCCGGCCAGTGACAACTCGACGAACTACCACCCGCCCGAATGGCGTCTTTCTGGTGATCTTTCAGGTGATCTCTGAGCTCTAGCTCTGTCGAGGTAGTCCAAGCGCACCCAGGCCAGTAACAAACAGTCCCCGTATGTATGTCCTTTACGTGTTGGTTAAGGACAGCTGCAGTGGCGTAGTGGAGGGTGCACTGACGGCAGCGGAACCGAGGTGCCGGTTGCTCGCTAGGATCAGTAGCGGAGGCGGATGAGGAGGCGGAGGAGACAGCTGCTGTTGCAGAAACATTTCTGGCCAAGGGGCGGGAGGCAACAAGAGAGGTGGTAGCCCGCTGAATCGCGGATACAAATTCTTGTACCGCCTCATCAGGGTATACCACCTGATCATGCTCCATGTCAACGACTGCGGAGCCGTTGTCAAGGAATGTGATGCTGTTTGGGGCTGGCCCAATAGCAAAGAGCGCCTGCAGGAGAGCCGACATAGTCGGTTCTGCCATTATAACACTGAGAAGGTAGCAGCAGCGTAGCGAACTGTAATATACGGCATGTTAGATATGAGCAAGAAAGGATTCACGGCGTGTAGAGATTAAGATTTGAACTTACCGATACGTGCAATAGTTTTTCTGTGGATTCTCATATATGCTGGAACTGAACGGTTTTGAGCACACAAAAATTGAACGTCAAAGAACGAGGAATGTCTGTTTGTGGATGTTGAGGGAGAAAGTCTGTGTAATAGAACAGCAGGCAAAAAAAAGAATTTATACCCACGTGAAGAGAGGCATCAGTTGCCCAGGGAGCAAGTAGGCGCAACAAACGCGTGTAGCTTCGCTTTATCAATGATACGTACCGAAACTAACCTTGCAACAACAATGCGTCGTGTGCTCATTGATATGAATAGGTTATCAATGATACGTACCGAACCTAACCTTGCAGCAACAATGCGTCATGTGCTCATTGATGTGAATAGGTATGGTACGTAGTGAATGGCGCGTGAAGGAGACTTTCTTCCAAATAAGAACAAACACTGCCCTGTTTAATTGTATTGTATACGTGGCTACTAGACTTAGCTATTAGATGTTGGTGGTAGAGGCTGCATGTGATGGAAAAGCCGAGAGCTGATCAATGACATTTAGCTGCACACAGGCTCAATGTCGCTAGGGCAGAGACATTTATGTATATACCAATGAGAAGAAAGTCTAGCAGGAGGTGAAAAGGATTAGTGTATACACACTCTGCACTACTGTCCATATTACCTTCATTATCATATAAGCCTTCTTATCATATGGTCCTGAAAGACATGTTCTACGAGTGATCCTGCCAGAGTCTCGGGGTATATACAATATCTAACACCTCCCTCAGTCACCTGTCACAGGTGTTGATGTCTATATCTACACCTGGTTGGCTATTATCAGAGTCATTGCCATCAGGGCTGTCGCCCATATGTGTCAGGAGTATATTCCCCGGAGTGAAGATGTAGCCACTAGGTCACTAGATAGGTCACAGGTAGATCGCAGTGTAGGGTAAGGGCTCAATAATATTGATTCCTGGGTCTCTTCCAACTCCGTTGGGGGGCGACCCAGCCTTATATAACTATAATCCCTAATAAAACCACACCCAGGGGTAACAGCTACCCTCATGTGACTTTTACACCTGACAATATGATGGCCTGGGGCTACTAGAACGCTAAAGTTCAGAGACTGGAAATAATAAGCCCCGATGTTAATACAGCGGACTTCAAAAGCCTAATGTTTGCCACGACTTTATACTTGCCTTCTCTGAATATGGAATAGGTAGTTGTCTAAGGAGGGTTGGAAGTAGTCTTACGATCTACTCGTACTAATCATCCAGCCTCGTACAGATCCCACCAGAAACTAAGGAGGTTCATGTTGTTGCAACCTGCTACCTACCCGAAATAACCCTTCTGTTCACACTGTAATCATAGTCCCTGATATATTGTGAAAAATTGACCACATATTAACAGCCCTGGTGGAATGCTGCTCGAGCGACTTCAGCTCATCTTTTAAAACAACTTGAAGACGAAGTTCCCCCAATCATATCATCCCTAGAAGTCGATCCTCAGAGCATGCTCTTCAACGAGCTCAGAGAATTGTCGTAAGGCTTTGCGGCTAACCTCGCGCCTTTGACCTGACTGTACTCGTTCAGTCTCAGACCTGTGTAGGGAGGCGGAAATTGCTGATTGTCGTTCAGCATCTCATGGTGCATAATTAAGACAATAAAAAACTATTCCATGATGTCCGTGATCCATTCAGGGACGTTACTCACTTAGTTCCATAGCTTCAACAGCTTCAACTCAGCAAGCCCTAACGCGCCTGCAATTCGGGCAAACAGCAATGCCACTCGTAACCACGCTTTGGACTTGCGCTATGATGGCGCCCGAGAGATTTGCATAGGGAGGCGAGAGCGGTTCGACCATAGCTATGTCATTTCAAGACGGGGGAGAAATGCGAAACAGTCGGGCTGTTGCACCTCTATAACAACCAGCTTGGTGGCACTTTGTACCCAGACAGCAATGGTAGGCTACGTAGCCCAATCCTTTGTATTTTTTGAATCCGTATTCATCGAAGATCGCGTGACTACCGTTCTCTTAATAATCCGAGTACACATCGCATGGTTCGACACGGAAATGATGTTTGCTAGTGTACGGCACGTGGCATCACGTATAACATATGAAGACCCTTAATTCATTAAAAGAGGCTAAGTCGAGTTTCGACCCCTGTATTCTCGCAAGGCACAAAACATAGCTATTAGCTGTCGTCTCTTTATGACTTTACTCTAAAAAGAAAAGCCTGAGTTGAGTTGCCTCAACGCACGCGTATTGCATATATTATTAACCGCAGAGAAGCCTTGAATACGTAGTTACTGCCCAGTAAAACCAACTTGAGGTAAGTATTCTTGGCACGCTAACTCTTAGGCTACCCCACAATAAAGGTATCTTACCCTCAGTTACTTGCACGGAAAAACTCTCTGATAGCGGGCCCCGAAAGCCTTGCCTAGCGCAGGTACTTGACAAGGCAGGTCTTACAGGGGGGTAGGATAGTACATAGGGGGAGTCATATTTTACTAGCGTGTCGCCACACTCTGGGTCGGAACACGAGGTTTTTAAGCGAGAGAAAGACTCCTGGCCCTTCGTGATGCCACCGCTACTACGATGGAGCGGGATGGCGTCGAGTTAGTCTAGTTTCTCTCCTGGGCGCGATTTCGACTGGAAACTAGAGTCCTTGGCAGCGATGTTGCGGCTCGCTAGTCCTCAATAGGGACATTATGCCGGCCGCTGCCTGACAGTACAGCTTGGCGTCATCTTATTTTTAGTTGTTGCCTGACAGGCGCGCTTCTAGACTAGATAATAGCAATTCTCGATCGGTCTCCTTTATAACTGGCGCAACCGTTGCCTGCGATGTTATCAGTTCAACTTCATATAATGGTGATTTAATTCATCACGTTGTCATTCGTTCTCGTATCTAATAACCGCCACACTCGGTCTTTGTCTGTCTTTGTTCTCAATTTTCAATCCTAATTTCACTTTAATTAGACCAAGAGTTTTATTTTCCGAACCGAATAATAAGAAAACAGCCGAATTCACGACCTGTCCAGAAGAGAATATCGATATCACGATGACTCAGGAACATAGCCTGCCAACAGCAGGAGAATATAGGAATGAAGTCTCGCCAGCAGAATCTAGCAGTGT